TTGTGGCACAAGCCTGTAATGCCAGAACTGGGTAGGCTGAGGCAGGAAGATCACTGCAACTTTTATGATATGCTGACATTTCCCTTTTCAGTGTTGCTTCTGCACTTCTTCCTATTCGATTTCAGTGTCCTGAAGGTGTCCATTTTGTATTGCACTGAGAATACCACTGAGTTCAGGAGATGAAGAAAAGCTGTCTGTAGTAGTTGGGCATGAGGTGCACACCTGTAACCCCAACCCGCAGGAGGCTGAGGCAAGAGATTGTCATGAGTTGGAGGCCAGGGCAGGATATGTGATGAGTTCAAAGCTAGCTTGAACTTCTCAGCAAAACTGTCTCGAAACACAATCGTCTGTAGTAAGACAATGTCCCATGTTCAAAAATAGTTTCATCAGAGTCAAAAGTTATTTTTCACAAATTTTTTTTAATTTAAAGAGAGAAGAAAAAAAAGAAAAGATAAAAAACAATGTTAAAAGGGTACAAATAATACAGTATTTCAAGAAAAAATATATACAGTACGAAATCACCAGTTAATAGGTTACATATTATCTTCCCAGAAACAGTTGTCCATATCACTAAATTAAAGTAGACATTCATACAGTGAAATTGGAGACAGTTCCATTCAATCATCCAACAAATGCTCAGTTATATGGTTTTCCATCCTACACACTCAAACATACCTGCAGTTATAACCCTTAGTCCACCTTACTTTCCTCTTTTTTAAAGTAACAATTAGACTTTTAGAGTTTTATTACTCTCACGGTTCTTATTACTTTTTTGAAGAGAATAAAACCAAATGTGACTAGCAAAACAGTCAGTTAGAACACAAGGGTGGGCATAGCACATGATGCAAAAATAGAATACCAGGTGATCAAAAGTGGTTACCATTGTGCTTCTTGCTATTTTTAAACTGAGTTGTCTATATCATCAGGTATAATAGAATTGATCAAAACAGTACAGAACAAAACCAATAAAACCTACACTGAGGACCTTACAGGATTCAAAAAAAGGATGATAGTCAATCCATATTGGGCATCATAGTATATCTTATGGCCTTCAAAGTGATTGCCTATACCCTCAAACTTGATATGATCAAACAAAATAGAATATATAATAATCAGACAGAACAAGATGGGGAGAGCAGTACTGGGGTTCAAGTCTGGTTAATAGGACAACAAAAAAGTTACTATAATATGTCTCGTTATTTTTAATTTAGTTTTCCCTTAATTAAAAAAATGAGAGAAAATAAGTTAATTTTAAAAAGGGGGGGGGGAGATTGAGATAAGAGAGGACATTGTAATAGAACAACGCAGGGCAGGACCAAGCAATTCAAGCATCATTGTGTTTCACCACCAGATAATCTAACATAATAGTAGTCGCCATAGTGCCTCTTTCCTTAAATTATTTGAGTGTAACTTCGCATACTATAATATCAGGTGTATCTAGACAGTGTGAAGCCTTTCAAGAGAGTGCAAGAATTACAGGGTATTTAGAACCTGCTAATAGAAAACAAACAATGGTTTCTATATTACCTCTTTGCCTATAAAGAATTTTGTTTATACTATAGCATATAGTGAAATATAGTAAGATACAACATGTTAAAACCAGTGGAAACAGATGTACTACTGCCTGATGGGACTTCAAAACAAGACAATATTAAATCAGCACTAGCTTTTATGTTGTGTTGCTTTCTTTAAAATAGCTATTTGTCCTATCATAGATACTAAAATCGAACAACCCAGGTTAAAACCATTGTGGTTAATGAGTGAAAACATTATATGGCTTCAAGCCAATATGACTGGGAATCATGATTACCACATACTTCTATGTATTTTTATCATTTCTTACACTAGGGAAACTATTCGATATTTACACATGTGAGTTTTATTTATTTCACTTATGAGTATGGTCTCAAGCTGCATCCATTTATTTATAAATATCTCAATGTGATCACTCTTTATAGCTGAGTAGTACTCCATTGTATAAATACCACAACTTTTTATCCATTCCTCAATTGTTGGACACTTAGATTGTTTCCAAAATCTGGCTATTACAAATTGTGCTACTATAAACATGGGTGCACATATATCACTGTGGTATGATGCTTTCAGTTCATCTGGGAATATGCCTAAGTGTGTAATAGCTGATTCAAATGGGGCTTCCAGTCCTAGCTTTCTGAGAAATCTCCAGACTGACCTCCACAGTGGTTGCACTAGTCTACACTCCCACCAACACTGCAGGAGATTTCCTTTTCCCCACAGCCTCTCCAGCATTTGTTGTTGGTGGTTTTCTTGATCTTGGCCATTCTTTCAGGAGTGAGATGGTATCTCAGTGTGGTTATAATTTGCATTTCTCTAATGACTAATGATGATGAACATTTTTTCATGTATTTATTTGCTGTTTGTATGTTTTCATCAGAGAATTGTGTATTCATCTCAGATGCCCATTTTTGGATTGGGTCTTTGAATTTTGGGGGTCTGATTTTTTTAATTCTTTATATGTTTTAGACAGAAGTCCTTTGTCTGAGGGGCAGTTCACTAAGATTTTTTCCCAGCTTGTGGGTTTCTTTTCACTGTGTTGGAGATTTCTTTTGACATGCAGAAACTTTTTAGTGAAATGAATAAAAAGCTGAGGACAGCTTTCATTGCATCCCACAGATTCCGGTAAGTTGTATTTGTGTTTTCATTTTCTTGTAGGTAGTGTTTAATTTCTTCTTTGATTTCCTCTGTGACCCACTGATTACTCAAGTGTGTGTTATTCAGTTTCTGTGTGTTTCTGGGAATTTTGTAGTATCTTTTATCATTAATTTCTAATTTCATAGTGCTATGGTCCGATAGCAGGCAAGGGATGGTTTCAACCCTTATGCATTTATTTAGATATGTTTTGTGAGTTAATATATGGTCTGTTTTAGAAAATGACCCATGCACTGCTGAGAAGAATGTGTATTCTGTTGTTGTTGGGTGGAATACTCTGTATATGTCTATTAAGTCCATTTGTTCACAGGTGCCATTCAGTTCTTTTATTTCTTTGCTGATTTTCTGTCTGGTTGATCTGTCCATTGGTGTCAATGGTGTGTTAAGATCTCCTGTTAGAATTGTGTCACTGTTAACTTGGTTTTTCATTTCTGTTAGTACTTGTTTTATATAACTGGGTGCTCTGGAATTTGGTGCATATATATTTAAGATAGTTATCTCTTCCTCTTGGAGTTTTCCCCTTATGAGTATGTAGTGACCTTCTTTATCCCTTCTGATCATTACTGGCTTGAAGTTCACATTGTCTGCAAACAGAATAGCCACCCCCACTTTTTTGGGGGTTCCTGTTGCATGAAGTATTGTTTTCCATCCTTTGACTTTCAGTCTGTGGGTATCCTTTTGGGTTAGATGGGTTTCTTGTAGACAACATATGGTTGGATTTTGTTTCTTGATCCATTCTGCCAGTCTGTTTCTGTTAATTGGTGCATTGAGACCATATACATTAACGGTTATAACTGTTCTATATTGGTTTATTGTTGACATGTTATCTTTCTGCTGTTGCATGTTTGTCTTTCGGTTCTGTTTAATTGTCTGCTTTGTTTAGTGATGTTTTCCTAGATGCATCTAGGGTGTCTTTCAGTATTCTTTGCAGGGTTGGCTTGGTGATCATGTAGTTTTTCAGCTGTTCTTTGTCATGGAGATATCTTATTTCTCCATCCATTTTGAAGGACAGTTTTGCAGGATACATCAGCCTAGGTTGGAAATTATTTTCCTTTAGGATCTGAAATATTTCACTCTATGCTCTTCTTGACTTTACTGTTTGTACTGAGAAGTCTGCTGTGATTCTGATAGGTTTTCCTTTATAGGTGATGTCTTTTTCTCTCTTGCCACTTTTAATATTCTATTCTTTTGTTCGATTTCTGGGATGGCCATTACTATGTGTCTGGGTGTAGTTTTATTTTGGTTATGGCTATTTGGAGTTCTATATGCTTCATTGATCTTGATATCGTTTTCCAATCTCATGTTTGGGAAATTTTCAGCTCTTACTTCTCTAAATATCCTCTTGACATCCTTTATGTTTTTCCCTTCTTTTTCCTTTATCCCTATTAACCTTATGTTGTTCCTCTTTGCGTCACCTTGCAGGTGTTGAATTGTTATTTCGTGATTTCTTGTTATTTTTAAAAGATCTTTCATTTCCTTTTCACTGGCTGCAATCTTGTCTTCAAGGTCTGAAATTCTATCTTCACATTCATTGAGGCGGTTTTTACAACTTTCAATGGAATTTTTGATTTCCTGTATATCTCTTTGCATCTGCTTTATATATTGTTTGTTTCTTATATTGTTCATCCAGGGATTCTATCTTTTTGTTTATCTCCTCAAATTTTTTAGCTGTGTCTTCTTTAGATATGTTCAGCATCTCCTTCATTTCTTTTATCATTTCTTCTTTTACCTGATAGATTATTTCTAGTTTGATTTCCTTTAAGGCTTCCCAGAGTTGCTTCTTTATTTTGGTTACTATTATTTCAGGTATGTGACATATATTTTCTTCTAGGCACATGGCTCCTAGGCTTTCTTGGGATGGGCTGGATGTTTGAGACTGCATTTTGGTCTTTCATTTTTGTCATTGTCCTATATTTTTAAGCTTCAAGTTTTGTTCCAATTGAGGTAGAGAGGTCAGCTAGGCTTGGACAGAATTCCCTGCCCCCTCCTTACTCACTGATTTTGACAGGAAGCCGGATCCTGGGCCCCAGGCGAAGAAAACAGTTCGCTGTGCTGGGGCAGAGTTCCCTGCCTCTCCTGGACTTACTCCACTGACAGGAACCCAAAGCCTGACCCCTGGTGAAGAAGAGAGTTCCACGCCTCCGCTGGACTTACTCGACCCACAGGAAGCCAGATTCTGGGCCCCAGGCAAAGAAAACAGTTTGCCAGCCTAGGCAGGGTTCCCTGCCTCCGCTGGTCTTACTGGACCAACAGGGAGTCAGTGCCTGGCCCCCAGGGGAAGAAAAGAGTTCCATGCCTCTGCTGGACTTACTTGACCCACCGGAAACTATTTTTCACAAACTAAACATGAGGGCCAGGGGTTTGACTCAGCAGCATATGCACCTGCCTGGCAAGCGTGAGGTTGTGAGTTCAGTACCAAAAAATCAAAAAATCTAATTCAACATGAATTAAATGAGAAAATAAACAGATTTATTAGATTTCACTAGAAACAAACCTCAATTTTAAAAAATATGCAAAGCATAATTCGTATAAAATAAATAGTATCCTTGTGAAAACCTGCCCAAGGGACCGACACTCAGGATACTCAGTAGGTAAACAAACTCATTGCCCATGTGACCCTCAGGGTAAACTGTTTGGGATTAATACAGAACAGCTCTCTCACTGGTAAGAAAAATACACTGAGGTTTGGAAAAATAGTCATCATCCAAAAGAAGAAGCATAAGGCTTTGAGTATTAGATTCCTGTCCTGTGAAACTTTGATTGCTCATTCCCATCCCTGGAAATGTATAGCTGACAAAGCTTCAGGATTAGAGAGAGAAAGTCTGCAGAAGGAGATTGGGCCCCACCCTCAGGCTAGGAGTCCATAGGCATCACTCAAGACCAATAAAGTGAGCTCCCCTTGGTTTTGCACAACAATCCAGCCCTCAGTCCTGTTTTTATACAAACAACAGAGAACTCCATGAAATACCATTGAATACCTGCTGCTATTTACAATCACTGTAGTTAGGATTAAGAGCATTTTGTGCACAAAAACAAGAGCTGATAACTCTGGGACCACATAACAGAGAGTCTGAACCCAGAATAGGAAGTTAGTGGGGCAGCCAGGCTTCATCCAGAGCCTTTTTCAAGAGGGAGCCCTCAGACCCAGGAATAGCTGAAGGGCACATGGATGCCAGGGATTCTATGGGATTACAGCTCCCAGGTCCCTGGAGAGTAAGGGAGATTCTGCCCCTGGTGCAACTTCACCCTCCTCAGAAACTGAGCCCAGTCCTTCCCCAGAGGACTTCAGGGTCTCCTTGAAAGAAGGACAATTGTGAAAGGGTGCAGGGTGAAAAGGACCACTCTCAGGGGGGCAGATGGTCAAAGACACAGTTCCACGTTTAAAGCTAAAGTATGGAAAGAGAGTCCTGGAAAAGGGATCCTGCAGGAAAGAGAACATGTGGGACCCCGCAGTCATGTCATAGAAGGAGAGGTCCCCTTCACTGTAGTCCAGGAAAACCCCCACCCCCCAGCAGGCCTTAGATGGCTCCCAAGGAACCACAGTATTGGGTTTAACCTAGGAGAAGTGTCCAGTTTCCACCCATCCCACAACCCAGAACCCCTTGTCCACCATCTCTCGATACCAGTCTGCCCTGTTGGCATCTTCCCTGCAGACTCCCAGGGCCTACTCACCATTCTCTCTACTCATAATCTCCACCTCCCAGCAGCACCCTCCTACCGTGATGCCCTCATGGCCCAACACGCTGCAAAGATAATCCCCACCCGGGTGCTCGAAGGTGAGACTTGAGTTTCCATGAGAGATGCAGATGCTTTCGTGGGCAGATTTGGATCTACAGTGACAGACACTGGAGAGAAAGAACTGTCAATCACCCAAGGTCCCTCCCTCCCTAAATAAGGCACACAGCCAACCCCAAGTCAAACCTGTCACAGCCATTTGGCTACAACAGAGGGAGGGGAGGCCCCCTGAGATAAGCACCTGTGACACAAATTTAAGGCCTCCAAAGAGAAGAAGCCATGTGTTGGGAGGCAGGTATGGCGCTAGGCCCTTGAGAAGCGGCTTTGATATCATTAACCCTCACCCGCCCCACACGAATGACAATGCCAAAATTTGTATCATCATAGAAAAAATGAAGGGAGGCCAGCATCCATGGGCACAGCAAGGAGGGCAAAAAGAAAAACAAAAACAAAAGCACGAAATCACTCACAAGGCTGGAAATGTTCCTTCTGCCAGTCTACAAGAGAAGCACACATTTCAGTCAGGGATCTTAAGACAGCTGGGGACACTCAAGCTCTGAGACACAGGGCTGGGAGAGCAGCATGGAAATGGTTTGGAAACATAGTGTGCAGTGAGCAGTTCTCACTCACACACATCCTGCCACAGCCTCTCCAACAAGACTGGCCCTAAAAGTTACCCTCCCATCTCCGGGAGTCTGAGGCAAGAGGGCTGCCAGCACAGAGGACCTGTGCCACTTACACATGGAAGACCATCTCAGAATGATAATTGTTTCTAAAGTGGTGGGGGAGTACTCAGTGAAAGCTCCAGGCTCAACACCCAGAGGCAAGGAGGACTTAACACTGAGACCCAGATGCTGGCCACAGCCCTATGCAGAAAAGTCACTGCACAGATTTCACTACCAAATGATGCCTTCTCAGGCGCAGTCACCCTGGAACCACGGTTTTCTTGTGATATAATTATAGATATCAAATCTTTCAAGACCTCCATTTACTCATGAAGAACCGGTTGAGTTAAACGTTTATGACTGGAAACCATTTATGGAGGGAGCTCAGGATACACAATCACTGAAGTTTTGCCCAGTTAAGAATCAAAGGAGAGGATTCTAGGATGGGAGAGAAAGAACCTCAAAGCAGGAAAGAGATATACCAGTAAGAGAGCAGATACCAGTGACTGCCCATTTCCCCAGCCAGTGGGAGCAAAAATATCACAATAGATGTGGGTGAACCCAAAAACAGGGACCCGTGCATTTGCCTCCCCCAAGAATTCCCAGAAGAGCTTGAAAGCTTCAAGGACAACCCTCAGCATCATGGCACCCCAAGTATGTCCATCTCAAGCTGCAATAAGCATAAATGTGCTAACTGTATGGGAAGAGGGCTTGAAAAATGTGATGGAGAAAGAGGTTCTGGAGAGGACGAAATGACCCTGCGCTACTCAGGTGAGCCCAAACTAATCATGTGAACCTGCCAAAGCAGGTCAGAGGAAGTCCTCATCACAGAAACAAGGTGAATCAGGCTGCCTTGTGGGTTTGGAAGATGGAAGAAGAGGCCACAAACAATGGAATGGCTCTAGAAACAGGAAAAGACAAGAGACCCCAGAGAGAAGCAGAGCCCATGCTACATGGTGAGTTCAAGACCAGCCTGATGGCCGTACTGAGACTACGTCTCAAAACTAAAATGCCAGAGAAGCAACAGGAAATGAGAAAACAGGAGAACTGGGCTTATAGGGGAAAAGTTTAGGGTAAAAGGCAAACAGAACCAAGGACCCCTTTGGCAAGGCCGGAGTCCTCACTCAAGGTGGATTTCATGTTTGCTGGTTGGTTGGTGGATTGGTTGCTTGGTTTTGTGAGACAGGGGCTCCCTACCGAGCTCAGGCTGGCCTTGAACTCACTAGATAGCTGGGTTGACATTGAACTTCCAGAGATTCTCCCACCACAGCCCCCCGCCCTAGTGCTGGGATGACAGGCGTGCAAGTCCACACCCCATTCAAATATGATTTCTGAAGCCTTCTGGAACCAGCAGTGCCTCCCCTATGGTCATCAGCTGCTCTGCTCAGTCTCTGACCGCCTCACTATTGGTGGAACAAGAGTTTCAGCTGGTGTTGCTAAGGCCACCATTGACCTACAGCACAGAAGGGGGCCAGCAGGGATGGATCTATAATCCCAGCCAAACTCCCATCTGGAATTCGGAGCCCCCTAGCACATGGGAAGGGTGCAGCAGTGACCCAGAGAACACCCAGCTCATCCAGGGCAGAGGCTCTGACAGGAAAGAAGCACCACAGAGGCCGGGAGGTCAGGCAGAGGGAACATCAGTGTCACTTACCGGGGTACAGCAGTGCCTTCCTCCAGGCTGGAAGGGAACACACCCTGGTTACATACCTGCCACAAGGGGCTCAGCAGGAGCACCTGGCCCTGCTCCCCTACATTCTACAAATGACAAAAACCCGAGGAAGGGAGAGGTCAAAGGAGACTTCTCCTATTTGTGAGACAAAGCAGGGTGTCTTGGAAGATTCCATGGGCACAGAGGAGAAAGCTGCCTCACAGGCTGAGGCCTCCCCTGTCACTCAGCTGTGTGACTTTCAGCTGTCTGACAGCTTTCTCTGCCTCAAAAGCAAAAGCCAGAACTCACATCCTATCTATATTGAGTTTTCTAGTACGAATCATAACTGTATTATGTGTCGATATTCTAGGAAACAAAACACAGTATTCTGTAATTGTCAGAAGTGTTATTAACTCAGCTTTTCTTTGGTAAAGATATATTTGGGAAACTATCAAAAAGAAGGAAGGAAACACTGGGGTTTAGCTCCGCAGTGTAAGTGTCTGTTTGGCAAATGGGAGGTCATGAATTCAAACCCCACTGCCAAATAAAATAAAGAAGGAAGGATTGAATGACAGCAATGTGAGGGGAGTTCTTGGGTAAAGACCCCAACCTTTCCCAGGTGAAATATTTCTAGGGCTAAGCATCACTACTGGAGGCAGCTCTGAGCTCAGCTCATCAGTTCAGCAGCCCAGCCCAGTCCCTGTGACACTCACTGGGACCTTCAGGGCCTCCGAGGACAAACACCCTGGACTGTGATTTGGGAGGAACCAGGAGGAATTGCTCATTTATACTGACCCAGTAATGAGACTTCAGGGTCTGTCTCTGGGCTTCCAGGTACAGATCAAGGGCTATGTATGCTGAAAGCTATGAAGCCAATAATATGGAACACAGAATGTGGTCCATGCAAGAAGCTGAGTGTGGGACAAACCTCAGGATGAACACAGTAAAGAGCCCCAAAGTCTGGGCAGGAAAGAGCGCCCAAATGGGGAAGAGCCACCCAGCAGGATTCAGCTTCCCAGCAGCCTCCCCTCTGCACGCAGGGAAGAGCATCTACACATCTGTGCCTAAACAGATACAAGGAGAAGGAACCTGGGCACAGGCAAAATGTGGAGCCCAGGGACCTAGGAGAGTCACTTACCAGCCTCGTAAGCTGCCTTCCTCTGACCTGAAAAGCAACACATCCTGAGTAGACAAAGGGAACCAGGACGTCTGCCGCCAAGGGACACGGTAAGGTCAGGGGGGCAGGACTTACCCAGCTCTGCCTGGAGCTCATCTGAAAGTGTGGGGAAGAGAACGTGAGCTCCCGCTACGAAGGGAGGAAACACTGTGTATCTGAAAAACCCACCACAAAATTATTTTGTTCCCTAAAACTTTTACCACCAGACCACACAAGACCCCACAACACCAGCTGTCCTCACACACCTCTCCAGCCACCCTGGCTGGGCCCAGGTCTCAGGGCAGCTGGATCCACCGACCCCGCCCTGTCACCTTGTCCCAGGCACACCCAGCTCTGACCTTGCCCAGCCTTGCCCACCCTGCTTACCCTTTGCCTTCTGTGCCTGCTCTTTTATCCTCCTATCCTCCTCCTTAGCCAGCCTCAGATTCTTCAGTGTCTGCTGTATTTGCAGCTTTCCAGAATGTTGTCTGTGCAGAAAATAACCAGCCCCAAAGAATAGGAGCCCCATCACAGTCAGGCTCACAGCAAACGCTGGCTTCCAGGGAGAGGCCTGCGGGAAGAAGGGCTCTGTGGCCCAGGCAGAGACAGTCAGGGGCACAGCCCAGCACAGCCAGCCCAGCACACTTGGGGTCACGCCTCCCTCCCTAGATGTGCTGGGGCGGGAGCAGCACTGACCTGGGATGAAAATGGCCATGGCCTTCTGCTGGCCCAGGACGGGGTTGAGGACGGAGCAGGTCACATTCCCCACAATGGCCTCTCTCACCACCACGGTGGCCTCCACGCTGAAGAGCAGGTCAGCATCTTGCGTGTGGGCCTCAGAGAATGCCAAGATCTTCCCACTGACGTCTCGGCACTGAACCTGGGGCTTTGGGAACCACCTGGAGGCCCTGCATACCACACGGACGCCATCCTCTTCCGGGCCCTGGATGTGCACTTGAGGGGCAGAGCCCACCCCTGCAGGAGAGGAAATGTGGGTGCCCTGCAGGCCACCTTGACACCCCGGGAGTGTCACACAACTCCAAGGAACGCCTTCTACCTTCACACCTTCTGGGGTTCTACTGGAAAGGGACCTCTGCATGGGTCAGCCTACAGGCGGTGCCACAGGGAACAGAGGGCCAGAGCACAGGGACACTAGAGGGGCACAGAGGACAGGGGCCTCTTCCCCAACCACGAGTCCTGAGGAAACAGCAGGGATTTGGGTCCAAGGCTCCATCCATGAACCTCCTGGCTTCTCACCTCACACATTCTTCTGGGATACCTGCTTCCACACCTGCTGCCCAAACACTTCAAAATTATATTCAGGGGCCGCTTCTCTTCAGGCCTCTACTCTTCTATCCAGGTTCCTATCAATTTTCTCCACCAAGGTTCCTCATTTACACCTTCAGCTCCAGTTTCTAGAACTAACCTGATAATGTTGTCCTACCTGTGATGAGCACTGTATAAAAATATCCTCAAATTTTTCACCATTTTAGCGTCCAGCTCCCCTTTTCCACACACCTTCCATTGCCTTTATGTTCCTGCCTGAGGTCTCAGTCACGTGACTTGATTTGGCTGTTAGCGGATGTGATGCATATAGAGGCTTGATCAGCACTCAGATATGCCCTCTGCCATCTGTGTGGCCAGGGAAATCTTATGCTATCCCCTGGAAAAAGCCATCTAATGTTATAACTAATACCTTCCCAGCACAGGGTCCAGTTAAAGCTGTCCAAGTTCAGCCAACAGCCAGTCAAACACCAGAAATCTGAACAGACCAAGTCATACTCCACATGGCCACCTATTGGACTGACCATGAATAAAAGGAAACATTTTTTAATTCTCTGCATTAAAAATAAGAGAAAATTCTTGTGTTCTCCTTACTTATATTGTACTTCCGTAGGCAGAGTTCTAATTTCAAATAAATTCCTTATCTCCTTGAAATGTGTGTGCTAATTTTTAGCACTGCAGCAGTATTTTGACCATATGATGACCCAGAGACGTCTTCCACAAGGACCTGGAAGCCATCACCTAGCAATGTAAAACTTCCAGGAGGAATCAACCCTGGGACTCCTTTCGGGGGAGGGTAGTTGCAAAAGTACTTCCTGTCACAAAGACATGAAGTAGTTTGTTTGTGTTTAAAAAAAGCTTGTTTCATGCCAAGTATGGCCCACTAGATAACACAGATGGTTGCTCCAATTACCAAGTGAGAGTAGGGTGACATACAAGTGATAAATTTCACTTCAATTTCCCTTATTTGAGGATTACTGTAAGAAAAAAGTTGTACAAGCTTCGCTGCAAAATAAACAAAGTGAGATTTCTTTCTGGTTTATTTATAATCCCTTAGTAGACTCCCTAGGACACATATCACATTCTGGTTTGATCCTTACTCAGTTAAGAGAAGTAGTTTCTTTATTATCTGTCTGAAGAGAATTTCTGAGGTGGCAAAAAGTTGTTTTAAAATCTACTTCTTCAAAAGCATTAAAAATAAACTAAATCCAGGTGCGATTACCCAAATCTGGCCAGATTACTTATATTCCCCTAACACTCGAATTAATCCAGTATTTACTGCCACAGGCCACTGTTAGGACTTGGATCTAAACTGCTCCCCCCGAAGTCTCAGGGGGCAGAGGCAGGGCTTTGTGAGGGTGACTGTAGCTTGGAGCAGTATCACCATCAGCAAGTTAATCTAATGGCCAGTGCAGAGCCGGGTGTGCTGGGAGGAGGGAGGGCCTGGACAGGAAGGAGGGTCTCAGGGACTAGAGGCAGAAGGAGGGATTCTTGTCCCCTTCTCACTCTCTCTCCTGGTTGTCATGGTTTGACCTGCATTCCTCTGCCATGATGATGCTTCTGCCTTGTATTCAGCCAGCCAAGGACTAAAGAATCTGAAACTGTGAACCAACACAAATCCCTCCATCAACTTCACTGTGTCACATATTTGTCCTAAAAACAAAGTAACTAATATAGCCACTGAGAGAGTGGCTATTTGTTATGTAGCACTGTTAGATAATTGACACATAATTATCAACATTCCTGCCACTAAACAACAAATAGCCAAAACTTACAAGCCCAGGAGTCTCTGTATTTCTCTTTTTCCCCTCTAAACTCTGCCCTGAATCTACCAGTTCAGTCTGAGGTAGAATGAAAGAAACAACTATAAATAGAAAGGAGACAACAAAAATTGTAATAGTAAAATTGTACTCTTTAAGAAAAACAGAAGTGGCTGCCGCGCCTGGCCATCGGTACACAGAGGAGGAGCTGGGCAGATCTGGGGTGCCCTCATCGGCCTCTCTGCATGTCTGGAGGACTCTGGATATCTCCCCCCAGACTGTTGGAGTCCCCCCAGGCTTCCAGGTGCAGTGAAGGGGAGAGGTGGGTTTGAGGCTTCCACATCAGCCTCCCCATTCCGGTTGCACTTGGAGAACTGCTGAGCTCCCAACAGGTGGGTGGGCCCACACTATCCCCCGAGCCCAGCCTGTTTTGCAGCCACGCCTAGCCATCGGTGTGCGAAGGAGGAGCTAGGCGGATCTGGGGTGCCTGTATCGGCCTCTCCGTGTGTCTGGAGGACTGTGGATATCTCTGCAAGCAGGGAGGGACCACAGGTTCCTGAGGCACCTCAGCCTGTGGTGAGTACCCTAACTCAGCTGCGATTGAAGAACTGTAGAGCTTCCAAGGGGCAGGTGGACGCACAGTGTCCCTGAGGCCCAGATTGCCTGGAACTGCGGAGTTCTGAGCAGGCAGAGGAGGGCCACTGGTTCTGTAGGCCCAATGGCTTGGGGTAGAGTGGTGCCAGAGTCTCAAACATAGCTGCAAACATAGAAGAGGATTTTCAACAGATCCTGAGGAACTTTCAAATAACACTTGAAACACAGAAATATAGGAAAATGACAAAACGAAAGACCAACGTACAACCTCAAACCTCCAGCCCATCTCAAGAAACCCTAGGAGCGATGTATATAGAAGAAAATATATCCCATCCACCTCACATATCGGACACAATAGCTACTGAAATTGACAAGCAACTCCAGGAAGCTTTAAAGAAATTCAAACTCGAAATAATCTCCCAGATAAAAGAAATGAAAGAGATTCTAAATATATCTAAAGAAAACACAGATAAAAAATTGGAGGAACTAAACAAAAAGATAGAATCCCTAGAAGAGCAATATAAGAAACAAACAGAATACATAATGCAGATGCACAGAGATATACAGGAAATAAAAAACTCCACCGAAAGTTGTAAAAACCGCCTTAATGAAAGTGAACATAGAATTTCAGACCTTGAAGACAGGATTGCAGCTAGTGAACAGGAAAGGAAAGATCTGTTGAAAATAACAAGGAACCAGGAAACAACAATTCAACAACTGCAAGACGATGCAAAGAAGAATAACATAAGAATGATAGGGATTAATGAAAGAGAGGGAGACAACATAAAGGATGTCAAGAGGATATTTAGAGAAGTAATAGCTGAAAATTTCCCAAGCATGAGATCAGAAACTGACATCAGGATCAGTGAAGCATATAGAACTCCAAATAGTCATAACCAAAATAAAACTACACCCAGACATATAATAATCACCATCCCAGAAATCCAACACAAGAATAGATTATTAAAAGCTGTCAGAGAGAAAACACAGATCACTTATAAAGGAAAACCTATAAGAATCACAGTAGACTTCTCATCACAAACGATAAAGTCAAGAAGAGCATGGAGTGAAATATTCCACATGCTAAAGCAAAATGATTTCCAACCAAGATTGATATATCCTGCAAAACTATCATTCAAAATAGATGGTGAAATACGATACTTCCATGACAAAGAACAGCTGAAGAACTTCATGAACACCAAACCAACCCTGCAAAAAATATTGAAACACAGTTTAGATACACAAAGGAAAAAACCACTAAGCAAAGCAAATAATTAAACAGAACAGAAAGATAAAGATGCAACAGCAGAGAGATAACATTCCTACAATTAACCAGCATATAACAGTAATAAGCATTAATGTAAATGGTCTCAATGCACCAATCAAAAGAAACAGACTAGCAGAATGGATCAAGAAACAAAATCCAACCATATGCTGTTTACAGGAAACCATTCTAACCCACAAGGATACTCACAGACTGAAAGTCAAAGGATGGAAAACAATTCTTCATGCAGCAGGAATCCAAAAAAAGGCAGGAGTAGCCATTCTGTTTGCAGACAACGTGAACTTTAAACCAACAATGACCATAAAGGACAAAGAAGTTCACTACATACTCGTAAGGGGAAAACTCCAAGAGGAAGAGATAACTATCTTAAATATCTACGCACCAAACTCCAGAGCGCCCAGTTATATAAAACAATTATTAACAGAAATGAAAACTCAAATTATCAGTAACACAATTGTAAGGGGAGACCTTAATACGCCATTGACACCAAGGGACAGATCAACCAGACAGAAAATGAGCAAAGAAATAACAGAACTGAATCACACCTGTGAACAAATGGGTTTGATAGACATATACAGAATGTTCCACCCAACAACATCAGAATACACATTCTTCTCAACAGTACATGGATCATTTTCTAAAATAGACCATATATTAGCTCACAGAACATATTTAAGCAAATGCAAAAGAGTTGAAATCATCCCTTGCGTATTATCGGATCATAGCGCTCTGAAATTAGAAATTAATGACAAAGGATACTGCAAAAATTCCACAAACACATGGAAACTAAATAACACACTCTTGAGTAATCAGTGGGTCACAGAAGAAATTAAAGAAGAAATTAAACAATACCTAAAAGAAAATGAAAATGCAGATACAACTTACCGGAATCTGTGGGATGCAATGAAAGCCGTTCTGAGAGGAAAATTTATTGCACTGAGTTCCCACATCAGGAAAGCAGAACGAATACAAATAAATAACTTGATGCTACACCTCAAACAGCTAGAAAAAGAAGAGCAAGTCAAGCCCAGAGCCAAAAGAAGAGAGGAAAT